CAAAAAAGAAAAAAAATTTCTTATAAAAAACGCATATAATTATTATCAATATAGCGATTAATGAGACTTAGGTATAAATACAAAGACATTACTTTTCGTCCTGTGAGCTGATTAAGGGCCGTTCTTTTTCATTATAATCATAGAATACATTAAAGTATTTATGTTTCTCTTTTTCATTATTTACTAATGTAACTAACTATGTATGAATATATAGGGGAAAAATAAAGAAAAGAAATGATGTTTATAATTCTATTTTGCTTAAGAGTCTAATTTGCATATTTTTATTGAAGTATCCGTTATAATACCTTTTCTAGTGCCTGTAAAATGAAAAGAAAATAAATTTAAATGATTTCTAATTATAATAGTAAATAAAAAAGGGAAATTAATCATGTCTTATTACTCAACTTTCTGTTAGATAATTACAGGCAATAAATATGGGAAGATGTTTTCTTTAACATAATGGGAGTTTTCATCATCAAATACATCTTTTCCATATATAACATTAACAAAATCATCAAAATTCATTTGTATGTAGTGAGAAGTTATAGTTCAAATTAATGGACAGGATGAAATAGGAAAAGTGTTCGTCTCTTAAAATGAAACCTAGAGAATGTAAAAGTCTATTTACAGGGTAATTTACTAAATTCAAATACAAAAGATGAGATTACTATGTACACATTTTCTGGAAATTTGTCCTATTGCGAATTCATTTAAAATAAAGAATTTAATCATATTCTATTTCACAAATAGGTGGAACTTAATAATTTTCCTTAAGAATAATAAGAAATGTGTGTTAATGTTAATCCCTACTTTTATCTATTTAGAATTACATCTTTTTTTTTTTTATTTATGCGGTAGAAATGCCAAATTAAAAGTATCCTCAGTGCACGTAGCTCGGCGTTTCGACAGTGCTTAACTAATTACATCAAAGTAGATGTGTTAAAATAGAATCGAGGAAAAAAGTTTAAAAGAAAAATATGCTGCATGCCAATGGATACGTGTATTACAAAGTTTTCAAAAATGAATAGAAGCTTAAATGATTCAAAATTATAAATGCTATATTCCTTAAAAAAAATTTTAGACGAAAGAAAGATATTCATACACAAATAAATGTAATTATAAATAATGGAAACAGTAGAATTTATTTTCAAAACGCCTTACTAATTTTGTCATAAAAATAAGATTATACAAAAAATACGGCATTTCGCTTTTCTTTTTAAGTAATTTCCTAAATTATATTTAATTTTGTAATTAAAGTAAAATTAGAAGCAGTTCTCATATTGAAAACAGAAATTCTATTTTATCTTATGAGTAATTAGACATATCATTTTATTCATTAATACGACAAATGTAAAGTTAGGTGAATAAACTGGTAAAATATAAGTGTAAGGGGTGCAACGAATAACTAAGCACAGGTCAGGATAAAAAGGAACATATACAAGCAAAATAAAGGGATGTATTACTTTAACGTTGGAGGTAACTTATTAAATGCTTTCTTAACTATAGGCACGTTAATATTCTACATTACAACAGGGTAAAAGGAATGTGTAGATCTTTTTGTAAAAAATACTTATAATTTGACAAAAAAAAAAAAAAAAAAGGTGTTGTGCATTACATATGTTAACCTTTTCTGGCATTCACAAGCCTTAATTAGGATAATATAACCTTCTTGAAAAAAATAAAAAAGGTTATTTTTCCTTCAATACTACTTCTCCATCTGAGAAATCTTCCAGTGCATTTTGTGATGGTTCGTTCTGAACTCTTTTTATTCCTTCAGCCACTAATTTGGCAACTGACAAAATGTGCAGTTTTTCACAACATATATTACTTGGAATATGTATAGTGTTCGTGGTTACAACTTCATCTATACAGGATTCGTTAATCTTTTCAACGCATCCGTCTGATAAGATAGCATGAGTAGCATAAAGATATATTTTCCTAGCTCCAGCACTTTTCAAAAGAGCTGCAACTTTTTTAGATTTTTCGCCAGTGTCCAGAATATCATCTACTAAAATGCAGTCACAACCTTTGATATCTCCAACTATGGTAAATTTCTCCTTTTCCAAATTTGGAGTTATCTGATTTATATTTTTATTTTCTACATTTTTCACGGGGGTTGTGGTATTGATATTTTTTCTTCTATCTTGACTAAATATATTAAAATATTTATTACTAGACATGTTTTTGCCTTCACTTCCATCATCATTTGGATGCCCTTCTCTACTGTTGATTTCGTTATATGAGCTAGAAACAATCGTTGTAAAGCCGGCATTAAGAGAATACTTTTTCATTCGAATCCAGAATTCCTTCGTCTTCTCTGCTCCATCATTGTCAATCGAAACAATAACTGGGTTTTGAAGTTTTTTTCTTTTAAAATATTCCACAGCTAAGGATTGGGGATTAATATTCATTAGAGGGGGTTGGAAAAGTTTTTCGTCCGTGGAAAACCCCTCAATTCGTGGATTATGTAAATCAACTGAAATAATTGCATCAACACCGCATGCTTGCAAAAGTATAGCTATTTCAGGTGCTCCAAGAGAATGGACATAATTGAAATCATCCAAATGATTAGTTTGTCTGGAGTAATTTAGGTAAGGTATAACGGCTGTAACCTTTTTTGCAGAAGATCTCCTTAATGTAGAAACGAATAAAAACAATTCCATTAAACGGGAATGAATATCTTTACCACCCGCTGGGGTAGAATGAATTATATAAATATCTCTGCCTCTAACTTCATCCATTATTTGAAGGGCTATTTCTCCATCACTGTATTTTCCGACATAAGCTCTGCCTAAACCTATTCCTAAATTGGAACATATTTCATTGGCCAATTCATGGTGGCTATTGCTAGAGAATATTTGCATATTACTATATTCACTTAATTCTTGGTAATATTCATATTTATCATCTTTTGATTTTTTCTTATTCCTTCCTGGGTGCATAGAGTCTGCTTCCAAATTGTCGGTGTCCTTTGAATTTGTAGACATTCTTCCTTTATTATTTATTAAACTAAATTCATTTTTTTTAATACTTATGTCTGTATTTTCTAAATTTTCATCTTTCTTTGAAGGCACACTTAGGCCCAATATATTTGCGCATAAAATAGTTTTGGCTTTCGCATGACTTCTTCTCCCATTATGCCTTTGCCTTTCTTGGTTCAAAACTACTGGGTATTCATTGAAATTGTTGTGGTTTACATTTTCATACACGAAATATACACTCTTCTGAAATTTATCATGATAAATGTTTACAGATTCATTTTTAGCAGCAAAGTATTTCATGAATTTATCTCTGTGTTCGTAGAGCTTCCGGGAGTAGTTGTTATAAATTTTGTAAATCATTATAAATGTACTGTATTACACAATAGGCTTATTTTGAAAATGCTTCCTCGTGAAAGGTACATGGATCGTGGGAAAACGATTTAATTGCACGTTGTAGGTAAGAGGTACGCATGTATATATGTATGTATATACATATGTCCTTAGCGAAAGGGGGCTTTATTTTGTCATTCGTAATCTGGTATTTTTCTCAGCTGCGGATTATTAATTTTCTATATTGAAAAATTTCATTGTATTTGTTATTCCTTGAATGGGTGCTTCTTTTCTCTATTCCTTTTCCTATTGCAGGCAGTTATGTAATGTGGGATCAGAGGGCCAAAATATTTTGACGTACTTTGTCTGCAAATGGGTTGAGTTTTTTTAACCCTTTTTTAATTGTAGATGTAACAGCCAACCCTTTGCTTATAATCTTATATTGTACTCCTGTGCAAACTCGTTAAATGCGTTCGTGCGAGAAAGGGGGCGTTTGCATTTATTTCGCTATCACATCATGTGTGTTTTTTTAAAGCAAGGGAAAAAAATACGAGAAAATTGCATACTTTATTTGTATTAATTTTGCTATAAGTAAGAATTGATTTGAGCGCACGAGTAAATATGTATGCCTATCACACTTCTGTTTCGGCATAATTTGCTTCATCATCTTGTTTGCTTCTTCGTTTGTTTGTTTTTTTTTTTTTTCTTTTTTTTTTTTTTTTTCATTTTGCGCATGGTAAAGGGGAGAAACATGACTTGCGATTTTCGCACAAAAAGCGTCAACGGGATTTTATAAAGTCGCAGTAATGTAATTTAATATGAACATGATTTATTTTTAAGGCTATTGAGCTTAAACAAAATTATGATTTAGTGTTATATTATATGTAATACCACGTCACATGTACGACATGTGTTTCAATTTGGCCATCTGCATACCAAATTTGTGAAAATGAAAAAGAGGGAAATTAGAAACACCCTTCTATTATGTTAGCGAACTATCAGCCCGACAGTTATTTTCGCAGGTATGCGTCTGGAATAGGATGTCCATGTTCTTATTTACGTAATTGCTAAATGGTTATATGTACAGACATTTTATGCCACTTATTTGCGTGGTATGAAGCGTTACTAGCAAAATTGATCGACATTATACGCTTAAGGCTTTAAACTGCCTGTTATATTTCCCACACCGATGGGTCTATCGCTTGTAAGACTCCTCTCTTTGAATGGCACTGTTAAACTTTGTATAATTAAGGCAAAATTTGCAAGCATTCCAAAGTTCAGACATTTTGTCAGTTCACCCAAGCGCAAATATAACAATGCTCCAGGGGTTATTCTCGCGCAGATGGCACAGTTGGCGCAGTTGTGTGATGTGTATAATTGAAAATATCGTTTACGAGTTGATGTTTGCTCAACAACAAGGCCATTACCGAAATGGCATATAAGTGAAGGAAAAAAAAAAAAAAACATCTTTTCAATAATTCGCTACTGTTACAGTTGAAACATAAAATGTTAGCATTACTCGGAGGAATCATGGAAAATGCTTTAATTTAAGCGTTTGTTTTTTTGAACATTCTGGTAAAAATTGGTAAAAGACGGAGACCCAGGTAAATAAATGCTATTTTGCAAAAAAATTACCCCCCCCTCTGAAGTTTTTTTGTTTTATTTTTTAAAATTTTTACAAAACAAAACATGTCCTCTCTTGGAGGACAAAATGTGAACCTTTGCAGTCGCGGGTATTTGGAAAACGTCCTATTCTGCATTGTTTCATGGAAACAGAACACGGTTGAAAAAGTTAAAGCCTTTGCCTCGTGCGTACTTATAAATAAACACCACACATGCCTAAACAAGAGGACGCTCAAAATGGAAAAAAAAAAAATAGACTCTTACGAGTACAACGCATTCTTCACAACTTCGGATATCCCCTTAATGCAGTTCATTTTAAATGCAGCTTGTTTCTCCTTTTTGTAAAAGACCTTTTTACTTAGAAGAAGAGGTGGAGAACACTGTAAGCGCAGAGGGGACATATTCATATTGCGTATTTGTCGAATGTACTCCCTCGCCCTTTAAGCGCCAAGGAGCAATTTCCTACCATTGGCAACATCGTTTTTTCCTTCTTCTTTAAAGAGGCACAATTTTGTACACGTTTGCTGAGCGAAAATATATGCCCCCGGGAGACAAACACCGTAATGTGAAAGCAAGCACTGTTGATCTATGCCTCAGAGTTATGCTTTTCTCTTCTTTTTTTAAACGACTTTAACGTGTAGATCCGCGTATATGCACGCCACTTCGCGAACCGGCAAACAGAATAGGCATAAAAAAACACGAACAGAAAGCGCACAGAAAAAGGTGTACCCTGTAGTTTTTCGCGCTCCTCCTTTGAAGTGATGTTTCTACTGTACATTTTTTTTCTCAAAAATGGGTAATCTTAACTCTGCAAAGCTTATCCTTTTTCGCATGCGCTAATATACTTCCCTTCAAGCGGGAATCACTATTTGTTCGTAACATTTTTGTAGATTCGTTTGAAATAAAAAAACATTATATGCATAGGGGAACTTCTTTTTGAAATCCATCTATTTTGAGTAAGCTGCTTAGAAAGTGCCTTTCTATGAGGCGGCCTCAAACGTGTATATATCATATATGCATACCTTTTTTACAGTTTCTGCTTTGACACAAGGAAATATTTTTTCCGCGCAGAGTTGGCCGTGTAAAAAAAGCTATAACAAGAGCAATGGCATAAAATGTGCAACTGCTTTCAAATTTTTCCCCCCTCATCCCCCAAAAAAATAAATTTCATTTATATGGGAAAAGTAAAATGCAGTGCGTATGTAATGTGTGAACGCCCTCTGCAAATGTAATTTCTACGCTTCTTTTGGAGGCCGATTTTCGAAGGAGGGCTCAACCGCACATTCGTATGAGAACATACCTAAACCATAACAATACAGATAGGAGCATACAAGGTAAACAAATATACCTGTAGCATAAACCCATCTGTAAGGAGATGCGTAACCCCCCTTCCGCATTGTGAAAGAAACCAATAAAAATATTCAA